TTCATAGAACCAATCTGTATGTGTACAAAACTAACTGTTGCAAATGTCTAAATGACTTGTTGTGCATGTGGGGCAAAAAGTTCCCGAAATAAACTGATATGTACAGCTCCGTCTTTCTTTTCTCTGCGCTTACAATTTTGGCACGATTCTCTCACTAACTGAGTTTTGCAAGCGTGAGGGGGAGGGCAGGTCCACCTTCTTCTTGTAGCCAATCACATGAGGCTCTTGCTGACTCTCCATTTACTCTGATCCGATTGGTTCAATAAACATATGCCAAATCATATGCCAAAACATTAATCTTCATTTAGTTCCGGATCGCTCTCACTGCCAGAATGATCCTTTTAACGTACACATACATTAAAAATAAAAATAAATAAATAACAACTTGATTAAAACATGATACTTATGACTACGTATTTTAGCGAAAACAACGTGCCAAAAGTGTTAAGCGCAGAAAAATGGAAGTCAGAAGAATGCAGATCATATTTATTTTGCGTTAGCACGAAGCTGCAGTTTCACAATACATGAATTACACTTACGAGTAACAGTAAAATGCTGCAAATAATTTTTTCTTACTGCGTATGCAAATCTTTTAGGCATTAAATTACCTTCATAGTAATCTCTAGCCACTAACTGCCATACACGTGTTCACGAGTATATGCTAGTCTCATGAGAACCAAGTTTTGTTTACAGCAAAGGAAAACCAGTCTCCTCTTGGCTTATATCAAAATCCTCCAACATTTTTCATAACAAATCCTCATTTTGTACTTCTAATTCGTGACTAATGTTGTTTTGCTCTTACCTCTGCGCTACCGCATTTGTCACTTCTCATCGTGGACACGAGTATGACAGTTAGCGGAAGCTAGAGATAACGGTTTATAAAGTTTGAAATACACATGCATCGATTCGCCTTTATTAACCCCCCGGAGCCGTGTGGAGCACTTTTTATGGATGGATGGATGCACGTTTTTGGGCTTCAAAATCTCAATCACCATTCACTGCTATTATAAAGCTTGGAAGAGCCAGGACATTTTTAATATAACTCTGATTGTATTCGTCTGAAAGTCATATACACCTAGGATGGCTTCAGGGTCAGTAAATCGTGGGGTAATTTTCATTTTGTGGTGAACTATCCCTTTAATGGTAATCAAAAAGTTTCAGTTCCCATTTACTTCTATTGTATTTCTTTTTCTTTTTTGTCCAAAGTCTATGGGAACCTGAACTGTTTGGTTACCAACATTCTTCGAAATATGCACTTCTGGGCCACCGTAACATTTGGATGAACAATTATAAAACACTTTTCTCATGAATAATGTGCAATGATGAATTAGAAACACAATGTGTAAAACTAAAGTTTGATTTCATGTTGACTTTGTTTTAAGTCACTCAGACACACTAATGCTGTTCACTTTTGTTCCCAAACCCTCTCTGATGTTCTCTCACACTCGCTCTCATGATTTCGGGCCTCTCTGTACCTCCAGACCTTTCCCGCTCTGGCTCGGCTACAGGCTCTCCGCAGGGGGAACGCGCGCCTCCTACAGGAGAATAAAGCCATGCTGCGCTCCCTCGCTCGCCTCACTCAGACGGCCTCTCTCCCTGAGACGGACGATCTCTAGTCCTCCTCTCTATCTCTCTCTGTCCCTTCCTCCTTCCTGTTCTCCGCTGCACCCTGTAGTCCTCCTCCTCTGTCCCGCTGCTGCTCAACTCTCAGGCAGGTCTCTCTGTTTCATTCCTTTGTTTTGCATTGGTAAGGCTTTTTCGCTCCTTCTTTCTTTCTCCCTGTTTCTCTCCTGGGTCTGGGGAAGGGCAACCCCTCACATTCCTGCAGCAGGCGGTGGCTTTGAAGATATTTATAGATCTTCCAAACACATGACCAAACGTCTCTATACTCCAGCAGTGTCCAGATCAAATCACAGCCTCTGTAGTGTCACATTCTAGTCTCTGTCAACACATCTGCTCACTGGTTATTAATAACATCACAGACTATTGGATGCCTATATTACACACAGATAGCTATAAAAGTAAGCATAAAAATAATTTTTAAAAAGTTAAATTAAAATGAATAAAATTTGTACATTTACAAAAATAGAATAATGATAGAATATGTAACTCACTGGTTATAAATGACATTACAGACTACGGGATGCCTATATTACAAACAGATAATAATAAATAATTAAGCATATTTATAATTTTAAAAATGAAATTAAAATAATACAATTACAAAAATAATGACAGAATATGTAATTCACTGATTATAAATGACATTACAGACTAATGATTGCCTATATTACAAACGCAAAAAATAAGCATAAAAATTATTTCAAAACTGAAAGTAAAATTTATAAAATTACAAAGAATATTAGAATATGTAACTCACTGGTTATAAATGCCTATATTACACATGGATAGCAATAAAAAATAAACAAAAAATAATTGTAAAAATGAATAGAATAATAGAATAATTATGTAACATGTAACTCACTGGTTATAAATTACAGACTATTGGATGTCTATATTAAAACAGATAACAATAAAAAATGACAGATAAAAAAAAAATGTAAATAGATACTATATATAAATATAATAAATTAAACTAAAAAACTATAATAAATAAATACAAAATGTACAAAATATGGGTTAACTATTATTGAAAATAATTGTTATATTTTTGATAAAATATGGATAGTATTTTCACAAGTAATTTAATGCAGTTCAGCAGCTGATTTTACAAATAATGTTATCTGTTTAATTTAACTGTTGGATTTAGTTGAGAGGATAGAGACCACTGATAGGCCAAAATCTTTGATGCAATTTACATGCTATGTAAATCTTATGTTAGATAATGATTTATCGTACATATCTAATATTTCTCTTTCTAAAGAACATGGGATTTGTGCCTTTATTGCTTAAAAACAGCAGGACACCAATTTGTATCCTATTCATATTCAGAATGCCAGAACTATCCACAGTGCTGCGAGTCTCTGTGTGTGTGTGCTGGTTATTTCTAAAAAGGAGAACAAAAAAGCTTTGTTGTTGTATCCGATGGTTGGAAAGATGTGATATGAAGTCATAAGTGGCTGGGTTTGCTCTCCTGTTAAAGCTTTTGTAGTTCTGGCAATGCTTTTTTACTCACTGGAGTAGGAGGAGGTGAACCTCTCTATGCATGAGCACACATTCACATGGCACTGCCAACTGCCATTCCTTTAAAAAGGAATCCTATTTGAAAATTCTGTGGTGTTATGATACAGCAATGTTTGCATGCTTTATTATGAAGTACTGTCACATGAGATTAAGATAGTATTGGTCTAGAAGTACCATTTTAACTTGGCACTGCGATTTTGATGCCACATGACCACTAAATAATTAAGTAAATGAATGCATTCTTCTAACTCCTTCTCATCTTTAACCAATCTCAGGTTTTGACAGAACTCAAGTCTGATAACCAGCGGCTAAAAGATGAGAATGGAGCCTTAATCAGAGTCATCAGCAAACTTTCCAAGTGAGGACGACCGGATAAAGGGGAGGAGAAATACTGAACAGAAAGAGACCAATTCTGAGAACTTCACACTGACTTCACATTGACCCGCTCTTGGTGCAGCAGCTCCAGGGTTAAAGAGGTTGGCTCACCAAAAAGTTCAAATTCTGTCAATTTACTCATGTCGTTACAAACTGGCTTTCTTTCTTCTCTGGAACACAAAAGAAGATATTTTGAGGAATGTCTCAATCTTTTTTGTTCATACAATGAAAGTCAGTCATCACTAAAACTGTTGGCTACCAACATGCTTCAAAATATCTTCTTTTGTGTTCCTTCCAGAGAAGAAAGCAAGTATCCACTTTCTTACAAAATAAGGTGGTAGCCAGATTTAGATCATTTCTAGCTGGTTTAGGTGGTTGACTGACAGGACAACCAGCTAGTGGAGCTGAGGTCAACCATCATAACTGATTTAGTAAGAGCTGTTCATCCATTTTTGCTGGCGAAGGCCAGGCTGAGTTGGTTAACAGTGTTCAAAAACATAACTTGAATTAGTTAACTGGTTTTACCACCTTAAGTTGGGTTGACTTTGTACTGTTTGCAGTAGGGCACTCCAATCACACTGTAAGAACAGTGTTGGTTTCTCCCACAGAAATGTCCAAACAATTGAATGGCTTCTCAATGTCAGCCCTTTCTAAACTCTAAATGTTTCAGGATCAGTATAGATGATGTTAGAATCCCTGCTGAAAAAACAAAACAAAACAATGAATGTCCATACTAGTCCAAGCTGGTTTAAAGGTCCTAAAAATAAAGGTTCTTTATTGACATCAGTGGTTCCACGAAGAACCTCTAACATCCTTGGAACCTTTACATTGCACAAAGGGTTCTTTATAGTGGAAAAAGGTTCTTCAGAATAGTATTACACTCTTAAAAATAATAGTTCTTTATTGGCATTGATGGTTCCATGAAGAACCTTCAAAATCCATGGAAATGTTCTATTACACAAAAGGTTATTTATAGAGAAAAAATATATATTTTAAGAACTGTTCACTTAAAGGTTATTTGGGGAACCCAAAGTGATTCTTCTTTGGTGGGAAAGCCCCTTTTTGGAACTAGATTGTCACTAGTCACCCTGTGGAACCAGCACAAATATTCTCTTGACCAGCAAAAATTAGTTTGTGAGGCTGGTCAAGGTTTCTGATAAAGCTGGCTGACTAGAAGACTCTTGCTTGTTAAGAAGCCTTGTGGGAACACCAGTACATTACGGATAAACAGCCAAACCACAGCATTGGTCACCAACTGTTCTGGTCTTTTCAGCAGGGAAAAGCTGAACAAACTGCCATTCCTTTAAACGGTATTTGATCATCAATCAAATCGAATGATCCTGAAGCGGTCATTTGGTCCAGTTTGATCTTCAGAAGCTCCGCCAAAACATTCTAAAAGGAATGTTCCCACTGAGAGATGATGTCACTCTCCTCATGTCAACCCATTTGTCCTGTTTAGTTTTACATTTGTAGTGTTTATATATGACCTGATGGGCTGAAGAATGGATACGTCGAACCAATCGCCTTTTGTTTGTAATTAAGAGTATCTATATGGATAAAACAGAAACACATCACACATATGCCATTTCAGATGCTTTGTTTTTCATTGTCCACAGCTTTTAACCTGTAATCTTGAACCAATGCTCACAGCACTTTGTTTATGATTTTTTGCCTGAGTATTAAAAACACTGTAAAATACCAAAAATGTAGTCAAGTGGATTTTTAGGTGCAGTGCTGCCCTCTGCCTGCCTGTATGATCATCACAGCTATTATACAGGTTCCACCATTTTCATTTTACATTTCACTGAAATATATGTCTTGTTTTTAGTGTTCTTGTGTGCTTCTGAACTAGGCTGCATAGTAGGAATTTATGTGAGATGCCAAGTATGCATTTCCATTTTAGTTTCAAGTAGTAGCCATTTCTCATCAGACCTATAAAGTCTTCATTTTAAGTAAAGTTCAAGTATATTTTCTAAGTATACTTTATGTAATAAATATACTAGTAGTATACTTGTACTATTTTCAATATGAGCTACTTCTCTCTGTTTATGTCTATGGCGAATCACGCAGGTACCTCCGCAGTGGTTCTGCCAGAACCAGTCTAAAATAGTCCGAATATAAACACTTAATATAGGTGTAGCGTAGTGATTCAGGATAAGCCAAAATCACGGTTTGAAAATGGATTCATGGTGTACACGCTTATTATATACATTTTGAATGCAAAAAAAGTTACGGACTGCAGCTTTAAAGAATACTCTTAGTAAACTACTAGTTTACTAGTTAGTAATATAAACTTGCAGCATAGAGACTGTTAAACTAATAGTTTACTCTGAGTGTATTTCAATGTGTACTTTCATGGACTGTGGATTAGAAGTATATAACTAGTAAACTAACAGTATACATAAAGTTTGTTGCGATACTAAAGAAACACTAGTTGGGTAGCCAAGTTTACTACTGTTAGACTTAAAATACACTTTAAAGTACATTGGCCAATTTAGTCCCAAGAGGTTTGAAATAGTTTGAAATTGTACACAAGTACATTGATATTAGTGTACTTACTACTTGGAAATTATACTATATGTCTTGTTTTTAGTGTTCTTGTGTGCTTCTGAACTAGGCTACATAGTAGAAATTTATGTGAAATGCCAAGTATGCATTTCCATTTTAGTTTCAAGTAGTAGCCATTTCTCATCAGACCTATAAAGTCTTAATTTTAAGTAAAGTTCAAGTATATTTTCTAAGTATACTTTATGTAATAAATATACTAGTAGTATACTTGTACTATTTTCAATACGAGCTACTTCTCTCTGTTTATGTCTATGGCGAATCACGCAGGTACCTCCGCAGTGGTTCCGCCAGAACCAGTCTAAAATAGTCCGAATATAAACACTTAATATAGGTGTAGCGTAGTGATTCAGGATAAGCCAAAATCACGGTTTGAAAATGGATTCATGGTGTACACGCTTATTATATACATTTTGAATGCAAAAAAAGTTACGGACTGCAGCTTTAAAGAATACTCTTAGTAAACTACTAGTTTACTAGTTAGTAATATAAACTTGCAGCATAGAAACTGTTAAACTAATAGTTTACTCTGAGTGTATTTCAATGTGTACTTTCATGGACTGTGGATTAGAAGTATATAACTAGTAAACTAACAGTATACATAAAGTTTGTTGCGATACTAAAGAAACACTAGTTGGGTAGCCAAGTTTACTACTGTTAGACTTAAAATACACTTTAAAGTACATTGGCCAATTTAGTCCCAAGAGGTTTGAAATAGTTTGAAATTGTACACAAGTACATTGATATTAGTGTACTTACTACTTGGAAATTATACTTAATGGTAATATTATACATAAGGTTTTTGAAGTCACTCTAAGCACCTTTTATTAAATATCTGCTTCTGAAACCACAAAACAAGGCTTACACCATCAGAGCTGTAATTGTAGGTCAAAATTAAATAAAGCAAACAGAAGGAATTCAGTGTTAAATACGACATATCAACACCACACCCAGAGTTAAGTGTAATTAAAAGGCCTTTATTTTCTCATTTGTTTCAGTACAGAGCTGGTAACACGCATGGTAAATCTGTAGAGCTATTTGGTTCCCTTGACGTCTTTACAAGGATTGCTGATACTCATGTACTGTCCACTAGGGGGTTGTGGGAAGAGTCTGTGAGCAACGTTTTCTCAAAGTGTCCCATCAAGGGCTAAAGCATGCGATTGATCCACACTAGGCACGACAATACGGACATGAACACACGCGCACACGAGAACACCGAAACAGGTACAAACATAGCCTGAGGGACAAACCCTCACAATCTCCCACCGACTAAAGAAGAAAAAAAAACTGATCACAAATAGATACAAATAGAAAAAGAGCATTTTACAACTCTAGATAAGCAGAATGAAAAGTGCAAGAGAAGAATCTAATTAAAGAGACACAATGGCAGGCGTTTGATTCTTTTATCCCCAGAACTTTGTGATTACGCCAAAGCAGACATAAAGGCATCAGCTAGCATTCGAAAAAAAAAAATTATGAAAACATCTCTGTTATGGGCGTTAGAGCAGTCTCTCATTGATTTGTATGACATAAAACAGTCACAGAGAGTTACAAAGACAACTGAGCAGGTTTCGTAAATGGAGAGCAACTTATAGACGGAATCCATGAGCAGTTTTTAAACTGCCCCCAAATACCTTTGCTTGCAAGTGACAACTCCGTGGTTTACGATCAGGAATGTTTCAAATAAATGTTCATTGTGCACGCTGCCATACAGGCAGAATGGCAGTGCTCGAGTAACTCCCAACAAATGATTATTCCTTTTTAAAGGGCCTATGCATTATTATTAAAATCACACGCATTCACACTCAAACCTCAAGCAATGCTGATTGAAATGACTTGGATAAGCCGAATTTCTGCACAGTTCTGTTCAATTTTCTTGTCCGAATGTCCAAATTATATACTTTTTAAGTATCCCATATTGCATTTTGGATTGTGATTTATTATTAAAATGGTCAAAACAAACAACTTCTCATAGTTAAACGGTTTTAATTGCCCTTTGCCCAAAAATGCATGTGTGTACATACATAGTGGAATGGCAACAACACATGTATAAGTTCATACAGACGTCCCTAGCACACTTTGTGTTAAATCAAGGCGTTTACAAAACCCAATATACACTGAAATCATCATAAACTCAATAAAAAAACATCAAAAAGACATTATTATTAACAGAAAGACTGACTGCCAATAATGCTTAACTTAGCACATCTTAGGAAACAGACTATGTGGAATGTTGAGGAGATTCATCGGCCTATGAAAGGAGGAGACGTTTTAGGATCATCTATATAGTTGAGCTCCAAAGATTTCGCTCAAGTCTTATGGCTTTATCTTATTCACACTCGCACACACAAACTTACGGTTTATTGGCTAGTTAAACGCTGTTCTTATGTAAAAGATTCATAAATAAAAGCTTTTTAGAAAACAATGGGGACTCCAAGTTTTCTATAACACGATTGATAGTATTGTGCTCCGGCAACTTTGTTGCCACGGTAGAAATCAGTTGGTCCGAAAAAATCACGTAAGAATGACATAACGTCAGCTAAAATGGCAGTAAACGTGACTTTTCTCATTGGCACTGACAGCAAAAAAAGACGAAAAATGATAATAAAGTGTTCTTTTTTTCATAATGATTCTGTATGATCCAAAACTTTACATCGTAGTTCCAACAGAGATACTCTGCTGATTACAGGATCCTACAAGATGGGGGAAAAGATCCACTTGGAGCCCCCGCTGGAAGTTTTGACTTCCCACGAACGTATTCTGACAAAGACACATACAAATATTACTCTGAAAAATAAATATAAATAACTGATTTCAAATACATAAATAAATACATAATAATTTTGTTCCTTAACAATATTAGTAGACGGCAAGCATGCGGCTACGTTTTCATTCTATATTAGTTCACACAAAGCACTTAACATACAGTATCTGCTCATGATGTCCAGGCATGGATTGAATCTGAAAATGAAGATTAGTCTAGTATAGTACTTCATATTCTCTCCAGTACCCACTCACAGAAAATAAATACATATTTGATTTGATTAGAAAATATACACAGTATTTATCCCCCTCCGTTTTGTTATTAAAATGACAAAGAACACCTACTTAGGTACACACTATATTTTTTGCTTCATCTCTGAAACATGCGCATCTTTTTGTACTGTAACATGCAGTATCATAAAGTAGGAACTATGCATATATAGGTCAAACTACACGCCTATGGGTTTGGGGAGGGGGTGTTAGTTGCGAGTTGCAATTTTTTTGTGAAAGTTCTTCGAAATAAGGGACACATCTGTGTGAGAAATTACACCAGAACAAATGGTTAAAAAAAAGAAGAGGTTTCGATACGATACTAGAAGCATGATGTCACATAAACAAATGATAAATAACCACACATTCATTAGACCTGCAAAAAGACATGAAAATGTCAAACTGCACTGTGAATGTGGATGGAAATACCTGCTATTTCACAATCGAACAACAGAGTTATTGCAACTGAACACAGCCTGTCAGAAGAGCAGCTTCTGTTTTATACAGGGGAATCTCATACGGGAAACGTCACTGAAGCGACTTTTAAATGAACATTCTGTCAACAGTCTTCAGAGATTTTTATGTTTGAATGACACTAAATGGCTTCAACTGCCAATATTTAAAACTTTAAAACTTAAATGGAATGTTTATCCAAAACGGAAAATTCCGTTATTGTTTACTCGTATTACTTTCCTTCTGTGGAACACAAAAGAAAACATTTTGAAAGACATTATTTTCTGCATACAATGAAAGTCAATGGGGTCCAATCTTGTTTTGGAACCCACTGACTTTAACTGAATTGACAAAAACAAAACAGTCTTTAAAATATCATCTTCTGTGTTACACAGAAGGAAAAAAAAAATCATACAGGTTTGGAATGAGATGAGGGTGAGTAAATGATGACAGAATTTCACTTTTGGGTGATCTATGTAAATTTCTGTTCCCCACACAAAGCTATGGGGTTTCTGAAGACTTTGAATATAAAGCATGAGTAGAATTACTTTTATTGTGCTTTTGATAGAAACTCATACAGGTTTCAAATTTTACAATGACCGACTTTTCATTTTAACTTGAAAAATGACGATTCAATGTGGCAGTAGAGTAATGTTACAGTGATGAGATAGTGGTGCAGGATAAAAGCTGCTAAAGTGACGTTTCCTTATGAGAAGGAGTTGTTTTTAATCGGGTTACAGCATGTGCACAACAAAGTCTCCCTCAAATCCATTCTTGGCTCTCTACATGTAGTTTTTGGCCTGGTTTAAAAGTCTCTAAACAATGCTCCAAAAAAGTCTTGATCCAATTCAGGCTTGCAATTTTGCTTAATTTCCCAACTACTTAATAATTGAACAAATATCAGAAGGTATCATCATTGCCAAAAGAGTTTCTCCAAGAAATATGAGGATACAACGCACAAAGATTTAGTTCTGTGTCGGTCTTAAGCAAAATGATATTCTGAGATTCACATCCTCACACAAAGACTCGTACTGTAAGCCCTAAAGCAGCTTTCAAACGATACAAGCTCCCTTTTTAAACAAATGCAAACTTGTCTCAAGAATGTGCCATCACAAAAGCATGTATTGAGATTGATAGAGCAATATGTACAGAATGCAGTTCCAGTAGTGCAAATAAGTTCAGCGGTTTGGTAAGATGTGCAGTTAAATACACACGTAACATTGCCTTCTATCAGCTCTTCTCGTGAAACCATAACTTCTGGTTTAAACCAAGAATAAAACATGAAAACAAAGAGTGATGGTAGTTCTCGAAGGAATAGTTCACTCGTGTTTTTCGAAACCCGTATGGCATTCCTTTCTCTCTTCCGTAAAAAAAAAGGGGGAAATTTTGAAGATTGTTCACACTGCTCTTTTCCAAGTCAAGCAAGATTTTTGTACAATTTTAGTCTGTCAGATCATATGAAGTCAGAAGTATTTTTTAAAGCTTGGTCACCATTCACATCCATTGTATGGAAGAGAGCAGCGTGAACATTCTTTGAAACACCTCCTTTTGTGTTCCACTGCCGTAAGACAGAAAAGTGAGTAAATGATGACTTAATTTTCATTTTTTTGGTAAACAGGATTCAGAACATCAAAAACGGCAGGTAACAATAAAAGCAAGTTGAAAACGAAGCATTGACTGGAACAAAAACACACCTTCATTTAAAGTGCTCAGGCAGAATACATTTACTACAAGAAATCAAAGCAAAGAAACCAATACACCGATGCTAACAGGAAGATATCCCTGGCAGTTAAGAATTGCTTATTTCATGATGTTTCAAGGCTTGTCTCCTTTTTGTCAGGGTTTGTTAGGATGTTGGGCAGTGGAAGAAGCCAGCTGACAGCTGGAACTGAAGAATGGAAGAAGAGGTTGTTTTGCAGGCAGTGAAAGATTCCTTCTGGCTGGGCAGGAGCATCGAGTCCAACTATCTCTCCAGTTCCCACTTTTTTTTTTAATTAATTCTTCACTGTCCTTTCAGACTCAACAAAAGTAACAGAACTGATTTAATCTAGATGACCAGAGAATCTAGAAGGAATGTGTTAAATTAGGCAGTGGAAGAGGCAGTGTTTTCTATCCATGGTCCCCGATGGAAAACTTTGGAATGCTTTTGGATATTTGTGAGCTTACATCTCTTCTGTGAATAAACCTCAAGGATATACACACCTTTGAGCTCGGCCTGTCTTCAGGAACATCTGTGGAAAGAGTCTCATTTGAGCTGGTCTTCTTTAATACCTCTAGTCTGGTGGCCCATGGCTGTAATTCAGTGCTGATTGGGTAAGATGACGTGTTGTGCATGTTGAAAAGTGAAAGAAAGGAAAGGGGGAGGGAAAGGAGAGAGGGAGGGAAGGAAGAAGAACAGGATTACTTCTTGGCAGTGAGGGCTGCTAACGTGGCATCCACCTCCTCCTCGGGTTTGAGTGGATGCCACTGAGCGATGGGCCTGCGTGGGTTCGCCTGCATGTCGGACCAGTGCCGGAGCTCAGTGCCCTGCGCTTTGCTGCCCACCCAGATCTTCCCGATGGCGTCGTTCTTGCCGATCTTATCGTAGTCAAGCACCGTGATCACAGCTTGTATTTTCTGGGAGAAAAAACAGATATTGCCCTTAAAGTTTGAAGGAGCATGGAAATGTAAAACTCTTGTGTTGAGCCGTGTAAAGCGTACCGGCATCTGGTCCTGTGGGATCTCAAAGCTGAAGGACTCGTTGTAGTATGGGTTCAGTGTGTTCTTCTTCACAGTCGTCTTCTTCTTCTTCAGCCGCTTGCCGTTTTGCAGAAGATGAATCTTCACGTAGGGATCTGCAGAGGTTTATCAGTACAGGAAGTCATGCAATTATATACTGTGGATGTTTCAGCTTGCTTCTTATGTATTTAGATTTTTTGAACTTTTGATTTGTGACTAGAGTCCTTAGGTTTTTCCTTAAATATCTATATATATATATATATATATATATATATATACTAGCACAGACAATCCAGTTAACATTGTTAACAAAAACAAAAACTATAAAAAAATCATATTCAGTAAATGAAATAAGTTGAAGTACTAAAATGACTAAAAAATAAAAAAATAAGCTTAAAGCTTCATTAAAATGAAAACAGAAAATATAAAAATAAAAGCAAATTCAAAATATGAATAAATACCATAATAACATATTAATATTAATATATTAATATTACTAAAATAAGACTGTAACCCACTGCACTCTAGTATGCAGGCTAACCAGCTCTGTAGCTAGTAAACATTTCATTACTCACATTGCTAAGTCAAAGATTAATATGAATACATAATATAACTGCATGGAATATAGTAATTATTCAGGTCTTGCTTTACACAGTAGAGCCGCCAGCAGGTGGCTGCAGTGAGGACTGACTGTAGGGGACGCGTGCGCTGCGCAGGTAGGACTGCAGAGTCAGAGTGAGCGCTATCTCTTCTTCATGGCTACCACTGACACTAAAGCACACTGCTGCGGCACAGAGGCCTGCTGTGTGTGTCTGACAGAAACATGATGAATTAATGAATAATTAAAACTGAAAAAAAGAATGTGCAATGTATGCACATATATAACATATAAGTGCAAACAGAAAATAGAAAACAGAAATCAAAACATATTTTTGGTTATAGCATGTGCAGGAACATCCAGTCTTCTGCAGGAGTTCATCTCCACCCACTCTCTGGAGGAGAGAGAGAAGAGAAAAGGCAGTGCATTTTGTGTGTGCGTGTGTGTACCTGAGAGTCCTCCAACATCCATCTTTTTCAGGTTCTTAGCCTCAAGGATACAGATGGTGAGTTTTCCAGCTGTAGGTACATAGCGCAGAGAGATGCAGATATCTCCAAGCTTTTCAGGCTGTGTTGGGAAAAATTAAATAAGCAGCCTTAAAGCAACAGTTCACCCAAAAATTAAAAATCATTTAACAATGAAAGTTAATTTATGAAATTGTGAGAACAACACATGGCATCCGTGTATGTCCGAGCACATGCACACTTTGGTCAGAGCCGTAATAATGCTATTTAGATGCCCGTTTAATGTGATAAAATAGCATAAAAGACTTCTTTCAAAAACATTACACATTTTCTTAATTATTCCAAATATTTGACTTGTCGTAGTTTAATGCACTTTCATGTTTTTTTTCCCCGTCACTATTCACTTTAATTGTATGAAAAAGAGTAGTTTGAACATTCTGATAAACAACTTCTGTTTTCTAGGTTTGGAACAACATGAGGGTAAATGAAGATTGAATAATACATCAGTAGTGTCTCATCAAACAGTCGTTTTAATGGAAACGTGTTAAGGTAGAAAAGAATAGCATTATGTAACATTATGGGCATAAAAGCATGTTTAGAGGCGCTGGGTCATTAACTCTCATTATTACTAGCGGATGACAGCTGCTAGTTAACGTGAAGCGGCTGAGAGATGCAGGACAGGCGTACCTCCTCTTTCTCTGCGCTATCCAGGTCTCTCCATTGCTCGATAGGTTGTGCCAGGTCCAGGGTGTTCATGGGTATGTTCACCTCACCGATCACATCATGCTTCGAGAAACGGTCAAAGTCGTACACAGACATGACCAGAGTCTTTCCTCCCATTTCAGTGAACGGAATCTAGAAATCAACATCGGCTCATGACTGCTTTGACAGGCACATTTGATAATGACATAAACTGGTACTGTACTGTAATAGATGCTGTACCTTAAAGTGGAAAGTCTCGTTGAAGACGGGGTTGAGAGTTTTCTTGTGCACCTTGGTGTCAAACTTCTTCTTCTTGTCAGGGAGAATGAATACTTTGACATACGGGTCTGAGGTGCCGCCACTGTCCATGGAGAGAAGATCTGCGGCTTGCAGGATGCCCACTGTCAGCTACAGGATAAGAGTGACAGTCTTCACAGTGGATTCAAGGTGCAAGCTAAATCTGTTAGAACTTTTTATTTGATCGATGGTTATGCCACAAGAGCACTATGAAACCAGTATGGTGGTAAAAAAAAATGTATTACTTAATAAAATAAATAAAATACGTGTAAGTGAAATACAATACAATATAAAACGCTTAAAATAAATAAAATATACATAAAATGAAATACAAAAAAAAAAAAAAATCACTAATTAAAATAACTAAAACTGAAATAAAATAAAAACTATTTAGACATTAAAAAACGAATAAAAATGGCAAAAACAACAAAATTACTAACATTTGAACTAAAATGAAAATGGAAAATATAAAAAATAAATAACTCAAAATATTAATAAAAACTATGATACTAAAATAACACTGGACTTATTTTGTCATTGACAATTTACCATTTACTAAAGCCTGAATAAAAGTTTCTGAAGACACTTCATTTGCAAACATTTCTGAGTGATAACAGATGGTTTTAAAGGGTCATGAAAGCCTAGACTACTCTTTCTGAGATTTTAGCAGAGGTGTTTGTGTTGCACATCATAGAAGACAATGGTAGCATCCAATAATTTTAACTGTTGGAGAAAACTGGTTAATTTTAAGCTTTTTTGCACTATTTTCACCTTCCCGGTTTAAAATCTACATCGTGTTGACGTCACAATTTGTGACGGGGCAAAGTACTATAGTACATCGATGACGCGTCGGTGTCTATTAAATTATTCATGAGACTGCGTGTTCTTATCCTATGAGAAGATGCTTCGCTTAATTATTCACAACAGCATGTGTTGATTTGCTATGACAGACGCTTCAGACTGTGAGATCGCGTACATTATCTGAGAGAAACGTTCATGAATGGAAGGAGAGTGTTTGTTTTTGCAATAAGAGTTCGGCACAAACGCGATTCATTCATTTAGTGAGTATAACCGTTTTTACAGCTCCATGACACAACTAGTCAAAAGGATTATATAATTGCTGCAGAATAAGCCTTAAAAAGTTATCAGAGGTGCAACAGCACGTTCATGTATGTTTTCGATGCAGAGTGCAAATGGCTGTGCATTTATTTGTGTTTTTAACTCGATGGGAGTGAAGTGTCTATTAAATTATTCATGAGACTGCGTGTTCTTATCCTATGAGAAGACCCTTCGCTTAATTATTCACAACAGCATGTGTTGATTTGCTATGACAGACGCTTCAGACTGTGAGACTGCCTTCATTAACTGAGAGAAACGTTCATGGATTGAAGGAAGGAGAGTGTTTGTTTTTGCTTTGTAATAAGAGTTCGGCACAAACGCGATTCATTCACTTAGTGAGTATAACTGTTTTTACAGCTCTGTGACACAACCTGTCAAAAGGCTTATATAATCACTGCAGAATAAGCCTTAAAAAGTTATCAGAGGTGCAACAGCACGTTCATGTATGTTTTCGATGCAGAGTGCAAATGGCTGTGCATTTATTTGTGTTTTTAACTGGATGGGAGCAAAATGAAACTGTCTGAACCCGAAGCTGTGTGTGTTGTCTGTCTCCTACGGTGCCCGAGAAGTGCAAAACAAATCACAATTCTGAAAACAAAATAACAAATTACAAACGCAAATG